CGCCCTGTGCCGGCTCCCGTGTGTCTCCTGCAGCCTGTGTCCAGTGACCTCTAGCTGGGGGCTGGAAACGGGTCTTGGTGGGGCTTTTACACCAAGGACTCGGGTGACGCTACAGTCAGGGTTTCTTCTCTGGGAGGATGTTAGACATTCAGCAGCACAGCCTGGGTATCTCTGCCCCCAGGCCCCCCGGGACAGGGGTGGGGAGCCCTTGCGCGTCCACGTGTGCGAGTCTCCGAGTCTCCACTTCCCATCCAGAACAGCGTCCCTTTGAGGTTCCCTCCCGCCTCCATGACTTTCTTCTCCAGCTGAGGGGATCCTGTCTCCTACATCCCTCATCAGCCCCCTGGGGACCACAGACATCCCCGAAGGCTTTCTGTGTGAGCAGAAACGAAACCAGGAGGTGTTGGTTCTTCGTCTGCTTTACTTTTTATGTGATGTAGCAGCCCCCGCCCCCCGCCCCCCCGCCACTGGCTCTGCACAAGCTCCGTGGTCACCTCACCTGCAGCTGTTGTGTCATCCATGGACGGGTGGCTTGAAGGGGGGGCCGTGGGTGTGATCTGTTCGCCACCCTACGTTCCCACATTTGATGAGCGTGCAGAGGCACTTTGAAGCCAGGAGATGGGTTAAGTTCTTGTTGTGTTTTGCTTTCCACACGCTAGTGTTGACATCCTTGCCCGCCCTGGCGGTGCCTCCCTCCACCCCCACCAAAGCCGTGTCTCCCGCTGTGGTCAGTGGGCTGGAGATGTCGGAACAGCGGAGCTGGCTGTACCTGGAGGAGATGGTCAATTCCTTGCTCAGCACCGCGCAGCAGCTGAAGACGTTGTTTGAACAGGCCAAGCAGGCCAGCTCCTACAGAGAAGCCGCCGCGGCCCAGGCCAGAGTCCAGGCGGATGCAGAGCGGAAAGAGGTACCATTTGCGCAGCGGGTCTATGGCTGCCACCTGCAGAGCCCGCCCACCTTCCTGGGCAGGGGGACCTGGAGGCCCACGTACAAGTGAAGCTTCGCTGATAGACAAGTGGCCACCGTTACCTGTCGGGCGTTTTTGTCCCTCACACACACCAGCCGTTGTTTTTGAGTGCCCGCCTGTTGTAGATGTCACTCACCTTGTCAGGCCGTCTTCCTCCCGGGGAAACGGGTCTTGTGTGTTATCAAATCTGGAGGAACGTCCTCTGGTGTGTCTTTGGGGCAGAGGTCGGGGCAGGTGTGTGTCTTGCCGTCACCAGCCCCTCCAGGCACCCAGCTCTGTGGCCACATCTCAGGCCCGTGGGGACTGGCTTCTCAGCCCCAGAGGCGCCGTCACAGGTATTTCGCTGCCGATGAGGTCCCCGTGGTTCAGGAAGCCTTGCGCCCAGAGCGTTTCCTGCAGCACAGGGTCCCTCAGCCCTGTGGTGCCTTTTTGGATGCAGTCTTCCAGGTGACGTGGGGCAGGTGCCCAAGCCGAGAGGAGGTGTGTCCTCACTGCCCAGGGCTCATCTGGGGCTGGAGGAGGGCGGGCCGGGCTGCTTGGTACCCAGAGCCCTCTTGGGGGCAGCTGGAGGCGGGAGAACGGACAGTGATGCGTCTTCAGTGTCACTTTGGTTTGTAGGTGAGTCGAATTGGTTTATTTCCACCAAATCTATATAAGGAAAAGAATTTCAGTTAGTACTACTTTCTATAGGTAAGGGGAAAGAAGAGCTTTTCAGGTGCAATTTTCCTTTTTTTTCTTTTTTCTTTTTTTGGCCACGCCACGTGGCTTGCTGGATCTTAAGTAGGGGGCTCTCATCGCCAAGAGGCAGTGGATTGAAAGTCTGCGTGCGTCTTTTACGGAGTTGCCTTTACTCTGCTGTGCCCCAGCCAGCCGCTCCGCACGGCTGTCGCCTCTTCCTGCACTTCACTGAGCACCTTCATCTTCGCTTCTTTAATATCCTGGCCGATGCTGGCCTTCGGGTCAGCTCAGGATCTGCCTCTGTTCACTCCTTTCCTCTTGACTGTGGAAGCTCTGTTCCTTCCTTCACATTCCAGTCATTTTGATTGTTTGTTGGACCTTTTGGGTTATTCACGGCAGAAGCTCTGAATTCTGTTGGATTCTCTCTCTTCCTCTGAAAAGTGCTGGACTTGGTTCTCAGAAGCAGCTGAGCTCCTGGCTGGTCTCCTGAACTTTGTTGTGTGAGGGGGGGGGTCTGTCTCGGTTACCTCTGCCCGACACATCTCTAGTCCTGGTCTGGGTGGGGGTGGGGGGGGCGGCATTGCTGCCCCCTCACGTGCGGGAATGCAGGCCCTTCTGGGGGGCGGGGACACCAAGGTCCCTGCTCAGCGCCGCCTTCTGGGCTGCTATTTCTGTTGGTTCAGCCCCGTGCTGGCTGCCTGGGGGCGGCAAGTGCCTGTGGCCATCTGTGCTGATCTCGGTCTCCCTTGGTTTCCAGCCATCTGGCAGCTCCATCCTCAGCCCTCTGCTCACCCCCCAGCCCAGGTGACCATGGCCCCTTGCTGTGGCCCCACACACCTGGTGGGCAGGGGAGGCCCTGAGGGAAAAGCTTTCCCACCTGCGGGGGGGGGGCCTTCCCCCCCCCCTCTCCCCCTCGGGATTGGATCCAGCCCCCTCCCCCATTACCTCCCCCCCTGCCCGGGGCT